TAAATGCTCTTTATATTCCCATAGATGAGGGGAAAGATAATTAACAAGTTATCTTCAGAAAAAAAAATGCAAGTACCAGAAGAAAACAGAATGAACTGGCTTGGGATTATCAATTAAAAGGTTGTAATATTTAAATGCACTAGCAAAATCCTCCTGTGGGAGTGGGATCAAGACCTGGGGGTATGCCGGTATCTCCTTCTTGGCCAATCACTATGACAATTTTTATTTATTTTGCACCAAGGAGTTAAAGCCAAACAAAATGTATAAATCTCAAACATTCTTTGTATGTGACTGCATTTTCAGGATGTTTAATTGATGAGGAAATGTTTGTGTAATGTTGGAAGTCTATTAACAAGTTCATTACCAGACAGGAGAGCAGGAAATGCTTGTAAACAGCTCCCTCTGCCAGTCTCACTGGGTGGGCCACACTGTTATTTCCTCTAAATCCACAGTCTTAGCTGACAACCGATACTAACTAAGCACAGATATTTGGCTGCCCTAAGATACCTCATATCTCTTGGTCTTGACACATACCATACCAAAAATTGAGCCTGAATCGAGCCAAAAGTCACAACGATGGTGGGATAGTGGGGACAGGCTCCTGATAAAGAGATGATTTGTAGCTTTAATGGTTCTTGCAAATCAAAGTGGTAATTCAGGGCTGTTCTATGGATAGACAGAAATTCCAAAGCTAGTCTCAGTAGCGAAGACCCAGGTTGGGACAAACAAATGGAAAACTCCCCGACTTGACCACAAGGAAGGAGTCGGATGTTCTCAATGTGCGCATGACCTCTACTCCATCTCAATAAACTTTCAAATATGTGACCATTAAACCACAGTGACCAACAAAATGCTATGTGGATGGGTTCGTTTATGTAAAAGTATGATTGTGTTTAAATGGAATGCAGCCTATGTACAATCCAAAAATGTGTAAAAACAATATAGACAATGGGACTATTTGGGACTATTGTAGCATTTCATATTTTGGGACTATTGTAGAATTTCATATTTGATCTCAAGAAACAACAAAAATCATGGGTTTTGATTCCCAGGGAACCCGTGAACTGAGGGAAAAAAAAAAAGTTTACTTTGAATGCAAGTCGCTTTGGATGAAACCCTCTGCCAAATTTGTAAATAACAAAAGTGCGTGAAAAAGTTGACTCGTGATAGAATGACAGCAATTCATTGTCTCGGAAACCAAAGACAATTACTACTACTGGTATGGAATGGGACGAATGAGGCAAGTTTATTGCACTAAGAGCACTGGTCAGTCTTTGTGTCCGAATTTGTTGCACCCTCTGTGAAAAACATCACAGACCAACAGTGCTAATGCAAAGTGTTTCAGAGAGTACGAAGGATTTGGCACATCTGAGGTCTATCTGGGCCCATGCCAGTCTGTCTGTCTGCTCTGCTTCACTCTGACGCCTTGACTGCCTCCCAGCAGATGACCAGCGTTTGTGCATAAACACTTCCTTCAGGCATGGGTATAGTGGCCCAGCTGTCAAAACCTGACTGGCCACAGCAGTAGAGAACATGATTCATGCAATGCGTTCCCCATGCCAAGACAGAGCTGCCCTGCCAAACATGTGTGGGGGTCCAGAGCCTTTGTTCCCAAAACCACTCTAATGAATCCTCAATGCCAGGGAAAAGTGTGTGGATGGAAAAATTAAACAAAACATATTATATTTCCTCAATGAGGACAGCCATAAGCCAGACGTTTTTGTACCCATTACTGTAAAACAGAAGCAGGTTTCCACTGCAACTGGGGAACTGTTTCTCATATACACTGGCGTAGACAATCGGCTGGCACACAGTCTGGCTTGTTAAATCATTACGGTCAAGCCAAGCAGTCTGTCTAAAGTAAGGGGTGGCAAAGTCTCCATTCAGAGCAGTATCAGCCCTCATGTCATTTTAAGCCACAGAGTCACTCGTTCCATGTTTGCAGTGATGACAGTTTTGACCAGTCGACTTGTTCAGACTTGCCCAAGTCCTGGCTATTTTTTGGTTCCCCAGGATTTTGGACCCTGTCATCAGCAATCAAAGATAACCCCTACTTTCGTATGTAGGGTCCTGAACCTCTCCCTCAATCTCCGGTGTACAAAACACACAAAAGAAAAGAGAGGGGTAAAGGAATAGTAAGAGACAGAAGCAGGAAAACTGAGGAGGTGGTACCATAACTAACAGGAAAAGCATTACTAGTATCGGAGTAATTTATTTTGAAATTAATAAAAAAAAAAAGCTGGGTGGTGCCTAGACATTGAGAGACTGATAAAAACAGTAATGAGGTGGAAAAAGGTCAGGTACAACAGTGTTTCATGACAATGGGTGTTTGAAGTAATACTAATTGAGAGTGACTTGAGGGAAATGCAAGAAATACACAGAACACGGCTCATAAAGGACGTGGATTGGAGTTGGAGGCAGGGCTTCAATATCATCTTCTTTGCTTGCATCTGCTGGCACTCACAGAGGCTGTCTCGTAGTGGACATACACTGGGGAGCTGAGTGTGTGTGTGTGCTTGCTTCAAACAGGATGCCAGAGATCCCGCTGGCCTTTCCATTATTCATGCTGAGCTTCTTTCATTCGAACACAGCCTTACAAAAGTCCATGAGGTGGATGAAATACTGTACATTTGCAATTAAAAATTGTAGTTAAATAAATAATTCTGCCTAAAAATGCCCCCCACATGCACAACTAAGTCTGATAAATGGTGTCAATGTTTTGTACCTTTTCCACCATTGAAAAAAAGCCATCAAACATCTTATATTTTCTATTCTACGATGACAAATTTACATTGCACCTTTTAATCTACAATGACAAATGTATAAATAATACCCTTTCATTCGAACACAGCCTTACAAAAGTCCATGAGGTGGATGAAATACTGTACATTTGCAATTAAAAATTGTAGTTAAATAAATAATTCTGCCTAAAAATGCCCCCCACATGCACAACTAAGTCTGATAAATGGTGTCAATGTTTTGTACCTTTTCCACCATTGAAAAAAAGCCATCAAACATCTTATATTTTCTATTCTACGATGACAAATTTATATTGCACCTTTTAATCTACAATGACAAATGTATAAATAATACCTTTTAACATTACAGATCAGTGAAATTCAGTGTAGGGGTAAGTGATTCTGATAGAGTGGGTCAATACAATAAAATGAGAAATGTGCATTACGCCAACCAGCCCGGGAAACTACAGACGCGACATCAGCAAACAGAACCTTTATACCAGGACTGAATAGGTCACAGCCTTGCAAAGGGAAGCAGAGGATATCATTGCATTTAACTAGAGTGTTACATGCAAAGCGGTCGTAAGTAAAGCCTTAATATTGTCTCAAGATTTTATGTTGCTTAAGATTTCCCTGACCCCTGTCTGGACCTCCCGGTTCTGGCACGGCTCCATGGTGCCCTCGCTCACCTCGCTTCATGTGTCGACTCCATCTGTAACCCCCTCCTCCTCCTTGATTAACTCTCTCTCCTCCCGCACTCCTCCCCACCGTGGGGAGGTCTGATGAGAGAGTGGCCATCAAGGAACCGTACTAACAGACGGCTTTTTCAACAAGCCTGGAGTTTGTAAAATCTGGGGGGTTCGGAGTCGTAGAGAGCGTTCCTCACCGTATTGCCTCTGGAATATTAGCTGATATAGTGCGTTGGGGGGGAAGGGCTGGCGGGGGGAACTGTTGAGGGTATCCAACCACAGAACACTCTCCCACATGTGGTGTCAATTAGGAACAATCTTGTTTTTACCCACCACTGAAAAGAAAGGAGGGCTTTTCTTGGGCAGTGTTTTTTTGCAGACCTGCTGGAGGAGAAGAAAGAAGCCGGAAATGTGGTTTCATATCAGTGTTTTTCGCCGCGGTCTGAGATTTTTTAGCTTGCATGTTATTCACACATAAATAAGCATAACTTTTTGAAAGATTGAGCAACAAGGAAGTAGTTCTCTCCTGAAATGTTCAAGAAAATATGGCACTGCATCTGAAAGAAGACAAATGTTAGGAACAGGATGCAGTAATTCTCTAGATACAAGTCCCTAACTGGGTTTATGAGAAGGTTCAATTGATGGCACAAAGCCACACAGGACGTCATTCAACTCTTGTCAAGAGGAAGTTCACCTTTAAATATTAATTTGTGTTTTGCTTGTGTATCCCATTACAAGCTCCTCTGTTTTGATAACTTTAATTATTTATCCCTGCCTTGATTGATGGCTGAAAAAAAAGAGCAAACAATCTAATGCTTCGCTTGAAAACTAAAAACCGTAAAGAAACAAAAGCAGCTTTCCCAAATGAATCAAAGGAGATCAGATTAAGTTATTTTCACACCGGCATACTTCAAACACGGTCCATATCAACAGCCCAGGGCTCAGCCCAAAAGCAGGTGTGAACCCAGCAGTGGATCACGACCAACGCTAACGTTCTGATGCCCCAAGAAACAACTCTCCCATCCACCCATGATAATAACCATAGCTCTCTGAAAACTTTGTACTATAATTCCTGCACAAAGTCTGGCATGTAACCAAAGACGACCTCTTGCCTTCTTGGCCAAAGCCAGAACCCAAACTGCCACCTTTCTCAGGAGGGCAGGGGCGAATACGTGGGAGAGACAGAAACTAAACAAGCAGTGCTGGGACTCGGAGTCAAACACAATAAGGTGAGGGTTTCGCATCAAAGAGTATACCTGTGCCTCAGGGTTTTTCAAGGGAACATAAGCCGTGATGGGCCCTCAAGAAGAAACAAAAATGAGGGGCTCAAACGTCCAAGCATCCAATTTCTCAAGGGGGTCTTGTTTTGTTTAATAACTTCAACTAACAAAATGCATCTGACACAACCACCCATAATCAAAGTATTGAAAGGTTATTTTATAGATGATGCCCTTCACTTTGAATTGTCCTGTATTAATGATGGGGGCACATTCTGAAATTCAAGATGGCCAGAAGAGACCAGAAGTACAGACGGGGACTTTAACAATACATGTCGCAACAAGATAACACTCACCAGTTGAACGTATGCCACTTTGTAATCTGGCCTCTTCACTCGCTGGTTTAAGTGGTTTCGTTTCTTGTTTGTACCTTGGTAGGAGCAAAAAAAAGGTGGTCAGGTATATTTAGTTAAAAGATTATTGCAATAATAATTAACAATTGCTCACCCAATTCTCAATACCATTATGCATAATAATACAAAACTTATTTAGAATTTTATTTAGAAATGATGTTTTTAGTAAACTTTTTTCAATTATGTTTGGTGGAACTAGAGGAGGCACATTGCAGATATGCAGTTAAAGGGTTAGTTCACCCAAAAATGAAAATTCTGTCATTAATTACTCACCCTCATGTCGTTCCAAACCCGTAAGACCTTCGTTCATCTTCGGAACACAAATTAAGATATTGTTGATGAAATGAGAGAGCTCTCAGACCCTGCATAGATGGCAACGCAACTGTAATGTTCCCAGGTCTGAAGTTGAGCCACTGATGTCACATGGACAGTTTTACCGATGTCTTGCTACGTTTCTGGACCTGGGAACATTACAGCTGCGTTGCCGTCTATGCAGGGTCTGAGAGCTCTTACATTTCATCAACAATATCTTAATTTGTGTTCCGAAGATGAACGAAGGTCTTACGGGTTTGGAACGACATGAGGGTGAGTAATTAATGACAGAATTTTCATTTTGGGGTGAACTAACTCTTTAATGAAAACGACTTGTTTTTATTTTGTCTAAAGAAATTTTAATAAAACATACTGCTACAAAGTAAATACTATTAACGTGTTTGTTCAACAACTAATAACTCAACCAGCAATATCTGATCAGTGCGGACTAGTAAGAGTTCAGGGGATATAAAAAGAACCACTCTAACAACCACTACTATATAACTGTGTTGCAGCTGAGTATATTTACATTGACAAAATTACACCTTCAAAGAAGATTATGTTTTGCAGAACAGCTCAGATATTCAATATGTCTTTTGGGGTAACAGGGGGCTGGGTTTATCTGTTAAGAAGCCCATGTCTTCAGTCCTGTTAACTGTGGAATGCATGTTAACCTTTTCCCAGCTGGCCATGATGTAACTGCACAAAGCCTGCTGGATAATATTCACAAGAACCCAGAGAAAGGAGTCAAGAAGTACATGTGAACCAAGTCACGAAATAAAAAAATAAAAATAAAATAAAAATAAAAGACAGTACAAGAAGAATATAAAAGACTAAATCATTAAAAACATATGACAGGACACAGTCTGTGAACAACAGTATGCTGTTTTTTACATAAAAATGTCTTTACAGCATGACATTTGGTTAGTTCAGTCTGAAAGGTACTTCGTAGAGTTTAAAGGTATAATTCATCATGCAGCTCTTTTTCATTCAACAAGTTCATAGTGACCACGTCTACTAAGCTCCAAAAAATACACCAAAATGCAATTTAACTGTGGTCCATATAACGTGTGTGCTACATTTCAGGTCTTCTGAAGCCATACAATATAGGCCAAAATATCAATGTTGTATACAGTCAAAACTGTATTATACAATAATACAGTCAATGTTGGAGCTTAATAGTTGTACTAGCACAAGCAACTGTTACAAAAAAAAAGACTTTTCTTTAGATTTCACTTCCACAGAAGAAAGTTCTGCAATAATATAAGGTTTGAAATGATATGAGAGTGATATAGTAATGTCAAGATTTTGTGGCGAAATCTCTCCTTAAAACCTGCTCAACTGAAACGTTTCAGTGACAGTTTGTGTGATGAGTTTTCTTATACAGGATTGCCAGTCTTCCTTTACTAGTACAAGGAAACCCTATAAACACAAACACTCCCTCCATTTAGGGTCAACTGAACGGTCAACCCGCAAAACAGGTGAGAAGCGCTTTTGTTCATGTATGCGAACCCTGTATCCATTCCCGTACTCCCACCCAACATTATATAGTATAAATAAATATTCAATGAAGCTCTCTTTTGAAGTTGTGTGTTGGCTGGTTACTATTATGTTACAAATCCCAGGACTGAGGGGTAGTTATAGAAACCCCTTCCAAAATACTCGGTAGGAAAAATAATAGACGCCTTGAGCCTGGGGGTTCCACCCGCCCCCCCTTTTCTCCACATCCTTTAAACCATCAGCGGCATGGAGCCCATGACGCAGAGCGGGACACCTTCTCTGTCGTGGTCTATGTTACGCATTTTTTTCAGCTTTTACGTTATGGCTATAAAAATGGCCACTTTGCTTATTTGTCCTCTCCAGCGTTGGCATGGAAACGGCATGGAAAAAATCCCAGTGGCGTAAACCCAACTGGCAGCTCTTAAAAGTGGTCCCCTCAGCGTTAACCAGATGGTAAAGCCTGTAATAATACTAGCATTATTTACTTAGCTTCAAGCATTATTGTTTATGTTATATTAACATAACCTTTATGCTTTAAAGGAATAGTTACATTTTTTTAAATGATGTCATTTAGTCACCCTTATGTCGTCCCAAACCCATATGGCTTACTTTCTTATGTGGAAAACTAGATATTTTGAAAAACTGCACGCAAATCTTTTCCATACCATGGCAGCTCAAAGTGACTACAGCAGTTAAGCTCAAAAGAAAAAGAAATCCTTAAAAGCCTCATTAAAAGCGATCGATACAACTTAAGCACTATATTCAATGTTTTCTGAAGTCATATGATATTTCAGAGGAACCTAAACTCCACTGAAAATCTTTCCCAAAGTAAGCTGTTAACTTAAGAACTGCAAATCACTGAGACACTGAGTTCAGAACTCAGATTTGTGAATTAACTGTTTGTCCGGTCTGCCAACCAGATTAATTCACTGAAAAGAAAGTTCAAAACATGTACGATCTTATAGGGTTTATGCCTAATAAATCTATGTGTAATGACATGTAAAATGACTTTTTTTAAATCATGAAATGTCTTGAACTATTTGAACAGATGATAGTGACAAAGTCGCATTGAAACTGAAGTAGCGACAGATCTTTTTTACTGTATTGTGATGTACATTCGAATGAAACGGATTATAAAAGAAAAATAAATGAAGGGCAGGGACGGGATGGGTTTCTATCCGTTTGTTGTTGACTGGATGGAGGCAGATCTGAATGCAAGCTTGTCACCTATAGAGTGCAACAGTCAGGTTCCAGAAGTCAAAATGGCATTAATTTTCTTCACAGGAAAATAGTTTTTTAACGATAACTTACAAACCTTTAAAAACATGCATACTGTGAGCTTAAAATATATTGTTTCTATATATACAATCTACATACAATATATATCATTCTCAATGGTTCATGGGATTGTAGTTATTTTCCCTCATTAAAACAATTAAGTACACAGTCTTGTACCTTTTTGTCTGATTTTCATAAGTTAAGTTTTTGTTTTAAAACAAAGTTTTTACTATTGTGACTGACCTTGTAGCTGGTTGGCTTGATTCATGTCTTACAGAGCTTTAACAAAGAGCTTTAACTTTTTTAACTTTAAAGTTTAAAAAAAATGAATTGGGGAAAAAAAAAAACTTCCAAAATCAGTGCTGCTGGAAAAGGGGGCGGGCACTAATGCACTCTATTGTTAGAAAGGGTTAGAGTTTATGCTGACAAAATGATTGGAGATATCGGGCATACGTTGCCAGTGACGTTTCACAGGTAGAGGATTTTGACATTTTGAATAAAAAGAATTAAAGGGTCTAAATAAGCAAATAAATAAATAAAACAAAACAAATGGAAGGATGAATAGGGTGAATCTTCTTCTAATTCTCACACAAAGCCTTAATGTTGCTTTGGCATCTGACATTGTATGAAAAACAGCTGCGTGGAAACAAAAAAAAAATCTCCTTTTGTGTTCCACAGAAAAACAACAGCCTACAGGTTTGGAATGGCATGATGGTAAATAACTAAATGACGAAAGTTTCAGGTTTGGGTGAACTACTTCTTTAACAATGACTGTAAAGAAAAAGAAACACGGTTGAGTAACACTTTTGGCAAACTTTGAGAAGAAATAAACAGGGCAGGGCATCCTAGGACAACTGGCGATTGGAACGCTACAGCCATGGATGGAGAGATAAGCAGCTGTGAGTGGAGTCACGCAAACCACTCCTTCTTTAAACTTCCCTCCCTTAGTGTCTCCCACTTCATCCAAATTCTGAAAACACAGTTCCCCGAATTAGCCATATGTTTATACATCTAATCCAAGCTCCCGCTCGACTGTCAAGTATCTCCAAAACATCTTGTCAGTATTGATCATTCTCACTGACTAACATACATATTACCCCTATCTCCCCCCCCCCCCCAATAAGTGAAAAACAAGTGATAAACACAGAACATTGCTGAGATGTTGTATAAGGGCTTCATACAGACCCATCACTTCTGCCGCCAGTTGAGTTTGGCTTGCGTTGCTAGGCGAGTAGACAAAGACAAAAAAAAAAAACTGAGTGAGCAGAGGTGCAAAATTGTGAGGGGGTGCTCACAGGACATGCTCTCGCATTCAAAAACAGCTGGCCGGAACGTACTGGAATGGACCAGAATGAGGTGAGGTCTTGACACTGTTTGTTTTTTTAATCATCAATAATCAAAAGACATGAGACTTGATGCAATTGGAAGTTTAACACCGTAATATGTATTTTCAAAATAAAGCTGTGCAGTTTAAAATACTGGTAATACCAAACAGAAAAGCAAGTATAATTTCATAAAATATTGCAAAAAAACCTCCCACTTTATTAAACAGATACAAAATCATAATCACCCCAAAATCATTGTTTTATAGTGGCACAGGTAGACAGTTTTACACCACGTTTCCCCCAAAGCATTTTTTCCCAAGGCTAGCATATTTTTATATTGTTTTTTTTATTGTTTACTTTTTGTTCAGCTAATCAATCACAGTGGAGGAGGGGCGGGACTAATACCACACTGCGCAACCTTCACACCCTGCTTGTACTACGACCGAACAACAATTGAGAAGTTAATATTGCTTGTCTCCTGGCATTCATGTCTTTACCAGTTGGAATAAGTAAGATGGCTTACTTATAATTGTTTACATATAAATGGGATAAAATATACTTTACATTTTTGTCTTGTAAAAACAAACAAACAAAAAAAATTGTTTAATAAAAACATACTGTGAAAATCAGCTTTAAATACTCTTCACTTACAAGATTAAATTAATCACTCCAGATCAAATATAATGACAGAAAGATTTACTCACAGTATTGGATCCTTGTGCGTACAGCTGCGACAGGAACGCTGTAGATCTTCTCTAGATAATTTCTGACATCAAACTTGGTCATTCTTGAAGAAAATTGAAACGGATAGAGGTTCAGAGTTGCCATGGAGTAAGAGAACAAAATATGAGAATCTATGGTGTATTGAAGTAAGACCTTAAGATTCATGTCATATGGAAGCATTTAATACAGAGATTTCCAACGTTTTTTTGGTTCTCCATCTTTTTAAGTTCCAAAATTCTTGTGACCCCACATAACAAAATTAAAGATGAACGCTTTAGGATCTCACAGGTGGCAAATTATGTTCATCTGCATCTCTGGAGACCCCAATGCTGAAAACCCAAATTTATTTTGGAAACATTGTTTTTCGAGGACTGAAATTACATAAAATGCATTTTGTGACATGCTTTCTTGAACAAATAAATGAAAATTGTATCATTATGTTTTCAGTCACAGAAAAGCCAACGAGAACCATTCAGAAAACATGACGCTGGAGCTAACGGGAACAACATAATGAACTGATTTGAAAAACAAGGATGTTTGTCCACAAGTCAGTCCATGTAATTTTTTTTTTCTTTTATAAAGGAGAGGGTTTCCAAGAAACCCAACAAACAGATGCTCCTTCGGAAAGAGTATTGTACGCACATCTTTCCGAGACAGCACCAGCGTGTGATGCCCAGATTTCAATGAAGTGGACTGGAGATTTTGCCACGTAATTTATGTGAGAGAGGAGATGCGTACAAGCGCGCGTTTGTCTGTGTGAAAGTGAGAGAGAGTGAGGCGATTCCTAGAGAGCAGAGCACTCGATCTACAGTGAGAGGAATAGTTAGCAGACCTAAGTGCTTTCTGAGACCTAAGTGCTTTCTGGAGAAGAGATGAGATCTTTTGAGATCTTTTTCAGTTCCGGCCCCCTGGTGACCTCGACAGCTATGCCAACAGGAAAAACCTTTGCTTCCCCATCCATGTCTAGCACTGTATAGGGCTGGAGCATCTGATGTTAATGTATGAGTTAAATGACAAGATTGAATTTTGTATCAATCTCTTTTTTTAGGAGGACTGGGACCTGATGCGGAGTGGTATCGACACCACATGAGCGGCACAGCTCATTGTGCCAGGAAAATGCATTTAAACCACTAGGCCACATCTCTAAGAGTTCATCTAGTAAGGCAGAAAAACCATCACATTAAACCTTGGTGCTCAGATGAGAAATGCAGGGTCGAATTTGGCCTGCAACATATTCCAATCCTATTTTCTTTCTTTCGGTGATAATTTCATGACATTTTTCACTTCATCTATCAAAGACAAAATAGTGAAGCAAATATAAAAGGGTTTGCGAACCTTCTAGGGGTTTGTCAGTTGAACATAATTGATTAAATCATAACATTGTATAATTAAAATTAAAAATGTAAAACGTAATTAAAATTTAAATCAATTTTAAAACAATCAAAATAAATACTAAAATATTTTATATTTTGTTGTGTAAAAAAGTTTGTTAAATTATTGAAATATTAAGCTATAATAGTAAACATTTTAGGTCAGAGGGGCAAACCAAACTAACTGGGCTTGACCCCACAAGAGCACATTTCTGACACTTTATCTTGGAAGGCAGAAAAACAACACTGTTAAAGTTTCAAGCTACTCTTTAATATGGGAAATCCAGGTTTGAGTTTATCCTACAACATATTCCTATAGTATTTTCTTTTTCCCCCATGATAATGTTGTATCGTTTTCCTCTTCATAAAGCATCGTATAAAGCATGGTTCCCCAAACTGGGGTTCATAAACCCCTGTGGGTTAATGAGGGAACTGCAGGGGGTAGGTAAGTTGATGAAAATGTAATAATTAAGTCATAATATTGTTTTTGTTTCTAAATTGTTTATTTACTTTCACTATAAAATAAATCACTTACTAAAAATTTTATATTAAATATTTTGTTAAATCGTGTAAATAAATGTAGTTTAACTTGAAATATCAAGTTAAAATTGAAAATGTTTTAGGTTCGGCTGACAAAAAAAAGTTTGGGAATCCCAGATATAAAGACAAAACAGTGGCAAGTTTTTATAAAAGTTCAAATTTTAATAATCACTTAATTTATACTGTACATTTTTTTTATCTGTTTGGATGACTATTCTCAGTTGCACTCCATAGAATCAATTAAATGAAGCACTGGGCAACACATTCATGACCTTCAGCAGATGTAAACAGTGCCTTGCACCTGTGTGGCTTATCTTTTGTAAGCGCTGACGTCTCATAAAGATAGAGACCTCCTTTTTGTTCAACCCCAAACTGGGGTTCATAAACCCCTGTGGGTTAATGAGGGAACTGAATTATAATTCATAATATTGTTTTTGTTTCTAAATTGTTTATTTACTTTCACTATAAAATAAATCACTTACTAAAAAATTTATATTAAATATTTTGTTAAATCGTGTAAATAAATGTAGTTTAACTTGAAATATCAAGTTAAAATTTAAAATGTTTTAGGTTCGGCTGACAAAAAAAAGTTTGGGAATCCCAGATATAAAGACAAAACAGTGGCAAGCCATTTAATTGCAATTTTAATAATCGAATAAATAATTTAATAATTTTTTTTATCTGTTTGGACGACTATTCTCAGTTGCACTCCATAGAATCAATTAAATTAAGCACTGGGCAACACATTCATGACCTTCAGCAGATGTAAACAGTGCCTTGCACCTGTGTGGCTTATCTTTTGTAAGCGCTGACGTCTCATAAAGATAGAGACCTCCTTGTTGTTCAGTCCTCTCTACTGCGAGTTTGAGCTGCGCCCCACCCTTCACACATAAACAGTCCACGCTCATCTCTAAACATGTGAATTCACTCCGCCCATTTCAAAGGCTTTCCAAGTAGGTGACTCAGAGGTAGAGGGACAAAACACTCCAAATTTTGAGGAAATCCAAAAAAGGGGGATCTTTTGTTAGCCGGTGACCTCTAGGTTACATTCACACCACTGGGACTATAAAGGAGGCGAGAGAGTGGACAAATAGCTTTAATGAACTAAGAAAAGATCATTCAAATGAAATCATTCAAAAGAAAAAGTAAATAAAAAGATGAAAGATCAAATGTTGATGATAGATCAAATACTTAAAAGGCTCATAGGATGATAAATAAACGAGGTTAAACAAATTCTGCGAGTAAAAACACTTTGTAAAGAGGCCCTCTTTCACAAAAACAAGTGCTTTGAAATTCTTTGGCTCTGATAATCACTATGCAAACCAGTTTGGTTTCAAGTAAAACAACTCCTTGCCAAAGTGGAGGGTATCTTTGAAAAGTAGAAAGTGAAGAGGGGGGATGTCTTTAATGTTTTAATGATACCTCTGTTGCCTTGTCTACTTTCATACTGTTTGCGATGGGACTGTGTCAAACGCAGCTCTGGAGGAGACAAAACAGTTCTTGATGTCCAATGAGGCGGCAGTGGTTCCAAAACAAAAAAAAAACTTTTCCTTTGCTTGCACAGGCACGTAATGCTTAGATTCAGGTGACAAGGATGCCTGGTGCAGATTAAGGCACTTAAGATCACAAAACAGTCTGTAAACACAAAGGAGTAAAAGCAGGTAAAAAAAAAAGAGCTTCCTCTGAGCACTTGCGCAAGTGATAACATATAGCCCGATTACAAACGTGTGCGGTTTGGAACACATACTGGCGGAATAATAACTGAGGAACAAGGCCCCACCGTCACTGCTTTAGATGTACGCCCTGAGGTTCTCCAGAAAACAAAGCAGACTTTGTCCTCTTTTCTTGTGTGGACTCCGATTAGACCCATTATTAACAGTCTGACTGCCTGTTTCGTATTACACCGCAGCAATGCAATAATTACGGCTGTATTTTTAGTGACGTTTAACAAACGTCATCAATAAAGGAACGAGATGTCGGATTTTAAGTCGGTGAAAGAGCTGTAAACAAATCTGAGGGAGGTAGGGAGCACCGAGGCATCATCGGCCATGCAACCGTGCATGGAAACGTCATCCCAGGTTTTGCTACAAAATGCTGTGTTGCATCTAACCAGTCTGCAATTATAGTTAAGCATCACTTAAGTTGCTTTAATTCTTTGTGATCATCATGCGCAATAAGATTCCAACACTGCAATTTACAGTGACAAGATGAAATAGATTTGTGGGATTTGTCTGCCACCTAGTGGAAAATAATGTAACTACATCATTTGTAAAATTTTAACATTTGACACAATTGGTATCATCGATGAAAATGACATGAAACACTTACTCCATAGGAATGCGAAACTGTACTGTATCAGGTGGCTGTTCTTTGCCAGGTCTGACCAGGGTCAGGTTGAAGGTGGGCCGGAATATTCTCAGCTGTGGGTTACCGAGCTGGTATAAAGGATATCTGAGCAAATAGAAGAGAAATGACATAAAATTACATTAAATGAATTTTTGGAGGATGACTTGCATTTCATGACTTCAGGAGTCCTGCATTTCACACACACACACACACATACATACATACATACACACATACACACACACACACACACACACACACACACACACACACACACACACACACACACACACACACACATATATATATATATATATAATTTCCAGTTGTCTCTAATGAAATGCTACAATTCCTTACTAAAATGTGGAAGAACTATGGTACAGTTTTGTTCATGCCATATTCATTTATCAAGATTTTTACATCGTACTCAAATACTTCAAAGAACATCACTTTACTATCATGTGTAAAAACAACATGTCTTTACTATAGTATTACCCAGTTTCTGTGTTCAAAATACATGTAGCATTACCATCCCTGCTGAACAAATTCAGCTGACACCAGCCTAAACTGGTTGGCTGGTTTTAGCTGGTCTTCCAGCCTGGTCAAGCAGGCTGCTTTGTGAGGGGATTTGACCACTTCTAGTCAGGCTGACCAACCAGCTGAACACCAGGTTGACCATCTTATACCAGCTAAGGCTGGTTTTAAAGCAGGGGCATTGGTACCAGTAAACAAGAACGATGGTATTATTCTCCTACTATGTCGAAAATAGCATGATAATACCCTGGTATCATGTCCAAAAAACAACAACAACAAAAAACATGGTATTTGTAAGCATAGCATTACCAGGGTACCATATCCAAAACATGATGTTACCATGGTACATGCCTCAAAACATGGTAACACATTGGCACTTTTTGAAGGAGTACTAACTTTACAAGTATAATTACACACTGTAAACCTACACAGGTACACATTTTCGGAAGGACAAACCAGCAGCAATAATGTAATCTTTACTGTTTTTTTTTTTATATGCATAAACAACACATCGGCTCATATTTACATATAACACGAAAACACTCACATTATCCGTTTCGCCATGTCCTGTTCAGTTCTGGAATTCTACAATCACACGTGCTGTTTTGATTTTATTTTCATGTGCTCAAGGTCCTCGAGTACTGACAGCCATGAAACCTGCTCAAATAATGTTCAAAATAAAAGTCCTGATTTCCACACTTTTGTTGTTTATACAGTAGATTGGACAGTGCAGTTGAATAAACATGGAGTATAGTAATAGATAGAAGAATAAAATAAATGCACGTTTAATATCTACTTAAAACTATGGGTTTTGTTTATAAAAAATTGGGAAATTTATATAAATATATATTTCAAATGCTGTTGGAACTTTTATTTTGATGGAAATATCATAACGTCCCCTGAAGTCTTTTGACTGTTCTCTGCTCTGTTTCCTAATGTCACATTTTTGTTTACACCTGTTGTGAAATGTATACAATTTTGTATAGCCTACATGGTTTGATAAATAGTTGTTGGAATGAAAAAAAAACTTTTATGTCACAATTTAATATAATTTAATTCCAAATAATTTAATATATTTCCAGAATCATTTAATATTTTTCTACAGATCTATATAGAGATGCGTTTGAACATATAACCAGTATTTGACACCGTTATCTGTTTTAAGGTAGAACATACTAACTCATCATGCTGAACCACTGTTTGTTTGTCCTATATAACAGGGTCTCGACAGGGATTGTTTTTGCACAAAAGTTGAAACGTTCCCGCAAGTTCCCCTCATAGCACACGTACATCACGGAGACGTCTGTTTGACGTCTGCATTCACATCAGCAAGACGTAGGCTATTTTTAGAGTGTTGTACGTGTATGAGGTGTGATTTAAGCACTTACGTTATAGTACACCCCATAGTATGTGTGCTGCAGGGACCCTAATACCCGGATAGCACACGTACATCACGGAGACGTCTGTTTGACGTCTGCATTCACATCAGCAAGACCTATTTTTTAGTGTGTTTGCTCACCTGCAATACATCTATGGGATGTTTCCTATCAGATGTCAAACAGGCGTTTAGAAAATGTCTTTAAGATGTTTATGATTTAGAATGTATCTTAGAGACGTCTATTAGATACACAACAGATGCTTTCCAGATGAAGCGATCTTTAACAGACATCTTGCAGACGTCCGTGTGCTATCTGGGTATGAATAAATAAATAAAACTGAAAACACATACTCTGTGATCGAAATGAACCTAATATGCAAAATTATAAGGCTATAGGGATGGTACAGATCCATTTATTAACTTAAAATAACATTTGAACAGTTAATTTTGTAATTATATTCACAGCTTGCGAAAATGAAAATACAGAAAATGTTTAGAAGATAGGCTATTAGAAATGAGGAAATATTTATTTTGTTTTTGTAATGTGCTTTTTTGTTATTTACTGATTTTCATAGTGTGATTTTTGGTTGTTTTGGTTTGGATTGGTTGTGTTGTTTTGGTTGGTTTTTGGTTTGAATTTTATTAAAACCAGTTAGTCAGTTTGCCCCGCAAACATCATAATAATAATCATTTTAATAGTATATGAAACATGCAACAATAATAATAAAAAAAAATACAAAAACAGATTGGCCCTTTTTTAAATTTAGATTTAATTATTGATATTTTGGCCACTGAACTAGGAAATATAACAATTTGTTTTCATTTGAAACCTGTCTCCTTACGTTAAAATGCAACAATTTTGTTCATTAAAAGTTATTAATATTTACACTGTCACAACAGACATGACAACTGAAGTGATCGAAATGAACCTAATATGCAAAATTATAAGGCTATAGGGATGGTACAGATCCATTTATTAACTTAAAATAACATTTGAACAGTTAATTTTGTAATTATATTCACAGCTTGCGAAAATGAAAATACAGAAAATGTTTAGAAGATAGGCTATTAGAAATGAGGAAATATTTATTTTGTTTTTGTAATGTGCTTTTTTGTTATTTACTGATTTTCATAGTGTGATTTTTGGTTGTTTTGGTTTGGATTGGTTGTGTTGTTTTGGTTGGTTTTTGGTTTGAATTTTATTAAAACCAGTTAGTCAGTTTGCCCCGCAAACATCATAATAATAATCATTTTAATAGTATATGAAACATGCAACAATAATAATAAAAAAAAATACAAAAACAGATTGGCCCTTTTTTAAATTTAGATTTAATTATTGATATTTATTGATATTTTGGCCACTGAACTAGGAAATATAACAATTTGTTTTCATTTGAAACCTGTCACTTTACGTTAAAATGCAACAATTTTGTTCATTAAAAGTTATTAATATTTACACTGTCACAACAGACATGACAACTGGAACATCACGACTTCTTCTCCAACAGGTCATTGTAAACTCAGTAGCTCTTTAAAGGGGTCCTATTATGCTCTTTTACAAAGTCTTGATTTTGTTTTGGGGGTGTACTAGAACAAGCTCTCATACTAGGTTGTTTGAAAAACACATTATTTTTCACATATTTTACATTATTACAACACCTCTCTCCCCAGTCTGGCATGAAAGGCTCGAATAGTTCCTGTATCAAATGAAGGCCCGCCTTCTGAAATACGAAATGTGTTGTGATTGTTAGCTGGGCCAGTGTGTGCTGTGATCGGTTAGCTGGGCCAGTGTGTGCTGTGATCGCTTAGCTGGGCCAGTGTGTGTTGTGATTGGCAGCACTCGGCGCCTGGTCGGGAAATGTCACGCCCCTTACCATAGCCACCTGCGAGATTCAGTGTAAATATTGCGTCAAAATCAAATCAATTTGAGCACGATTTAAACCCGGATGATTGTAAGCACTCTAAGTTCATCTGTCTTGATAAAGCTAGCGTGTCTCCGGCACAGTGATAAAACTCATTGCCTTCTCTAGTGCAGCTCAACCAGGTCTCGTCCCATTCCTCGATATTTGTGATATCACAAATCCCGGAAAATAAGCGTTGTAGTCCAAACGAGTTGTTCGTTGTAGTTTTTGAAAATTGATTTCTGTTTTCTAAAATATCTCATTTTGAAGTGGACTTTGAGCTTTTTAACTTTGCAGATCTTTTTTTATGCTCAAACAGCAACATTACAGACTAACTAAAGTTGAAAAAGCGAAAAAGCATAATAGGACCCCTTTAAGTATCGGTGTTGTAAAGCTCTTTCCAGAAGAGGGCAGCCTTGTCCACAGTTCAACAGTGATCCGCAAACCTGAACCAACATTGACTCACAAATATATGGGTGTTAAAATAACGGTCTCCTAACCAGGACACTCGCCAAAGTATACAATTATTCACTGTTATTATGGCAGGACCTGTAATTTCACCTCTGCGCCTTTTGTTCGTACATGTACATGCGTACATGCGTATGACTTTTGGGGTGTTTGTCAGAATTGTCCTTTTGGTGTCCTGAGGTGCGTTTCCCTAAAGCAACTATGGCCGCAAGTTTCATCGTTACCAATAGATTTCAATGGAACTAACTACCATATCTAACGATGCTTTTGGGAAACTCACTCCAGATTGGTTCTTTCATTTTTTTTGTGTGTCACTTTTAATTATCAAAAATCTCATAAAGATTATTTTCAGCAGAAACAAGCAGTAGCCTACCTGGCCGTTAGTGTAATTGTTTATCAGGTACCTGAGTGAGATTAGAAAGAGCTCTTGGGGTTTGGACAGTTGGCCGAGGCTCTTGTAATTGAATCACAGCTCGAGAGCCTTGTCTCTGTGCCAATGTTTAGCAAAGGGTGGGGTTAGAGGAGACGTGCTCCTGCAACTCGACTCCTCTCAACCTTCAAGCAAAGGTCTGTTCACACACTGTTTTCCAATGCTGCCATTTATAGATTGGCCCATGCAGTTTGTTTGTGACTGAAACTGATGCCTGCTCTGCTGTGGGGTAAAATATGAAATGAACAAAATTACTTTTCACGAAATATCTTAAAGATAATGAAAAATTTGCTTCTTAATTAGTTTTATTAAGTACTTATTCAAATTACTACAAACCATAGTGCTTACAACATTAGACTCACTGTAAGTTTGCTTTATCTATCAAGTGATTTATTTAATGTTTCATGTAGGCCTATTTGGTTTTCCTTTTTTTTTTGAGAGAGAGAGAGAGAGAGAGAGAGCGAGAGAGAGAGAGAGAGAGTAGCTAATAATTAATAAAAAAGTGTAAAACTTTAGTAATTTAATCAGTAAAATTAATGTTAAACTTTTTTTCTGTTCTGCTACCATCACCCAATTCAACAAAATTCTCTTAAAAATTAATTGGCATGGAAATGTATTTGCATGGAAAATCGGTCAGCAAGGCAATCAGAATGGAAATTTGTTTAGCTAGATTAAATATGTGCACCAGAAAAAAAATAAATAAATAAAGATTGGGGTTAACTGTGGCGGAGACGCCAGAAGTGCAAGTGCGAGAAACGCTATGGAAACTTTCCCAGCTCGGGTTATATTAAATATCCAAAGGGAAGGGGAAATTGTAAATTGAAGATCCAGACAGGAAGATGGAAAAGTAGTTTTGCTTAAAGTGAATACTTATGCTTGTAAAGGTCTGCAGTTTTTTTTTTTTTTTCTTTTACATTTTTGTCAAATAGCATTTTATATTTCCTTGAGGGACTGCCATGCCACTCATATTTTCCGTTATTGCATTGACTGGGATATTATGTTACATGAATGTACATGAAAAAGATCTGCAACTGTAAAAATCAAGGTGGTCCAAAACATTCCAGAAGACTTGCTTCATGAGAATAGAAGAGATGGATGCATGTGACGAGTTGACGAGTTGAGCACCTCAATAACATACAGTGAGGTGCAAACATTTGTGAACACATTGAAAATAATCTCTCTCTCTCTCTCTCTCTCTCTCTCTCTCTCTCTCTCTATGTAATGTTTATTTATTTGTTCAAGTGCAAAATACTGAAATAAATAAATAGAAAAAATAGATAAAGTAATAAATGGGTGTATTATTTATTTATTTATTTTTAAATGGTTTCATTTGTTTAAGTGCAAAACAGGAAAATAAATACAAAAAATGAAAATAATTTTACTGCTGATAATATCATTTCAAATGTTATTATTTATTTATTTATTTATTTGTTTGTTTGTTTGTTTGTTTGTTTTCAAGTGCAAAAGAAGGAAATAAATACACATAAA